AAAAAAAAAAAAAAAAAAAAAAAAAAAAAAAACACCCTAAACTCCAGCTGCTTCTATTCCCAAGATATAAAGGAGAGAAAATAAATTCTATTCCCTAGAAATGGACCGGGACATAGGAGTGGCTGAGGGTCAGGGGTACAGATGAGATACCATACATCTATACTTCTTTGAGGGGTCGCTTCACACTGAGCTACAGCCTTAGTCCTTCTTCTATTTTTTTAATCTTGAGACAAGGTCTTACTAAGACACTAAGTTGCCCAGGCTAGGCTTGAACTTGTGATCTGCCTGCCTCAGCCTCCCAAAGGGCTGGGATTACAGGTGTGCACCACAATGCCCAGCTCAGACACAATACTCTTTGAAACTAAGACCACCCTTGCTCCTGTTATAGAGAACCACCATGCATCATCTTAAGCAAAACATCTAGCTTTTTCTGTGATAAATTTGCTCTTTTTATGATCAGTATCTCAAACTCTAATTTCTCTCTTAAGTGCTAATGGCCGTACTTTCCGTCAGCCAAAAGAGTATGTGTGACTTCCTGGTGATGCCTGCACTGTTTTACTGGGTGTTTATCAGGTACCAGGTGAGAGGAAAATGGGGTAATTGCCAGTTCTCTGGGTAGTAGACGAATATCCCGTACATGATCACTTCTTATTATCAACTGCAACCTGCATAGAAAATAATTACATTTCTGATGGTGTGCTTAGCAGGATGTGTTTTTATTTCATGCCTTTATCTTCAACACTTACAGCACTTCATTTGTTCATTCAGCTAGGAAATCACCATGGTCATCCAGATGAGAGAGGAAAGTGATGTGGCCAAAGCAGGAGCTGGAGGAAGAGGCGAGGAGGGGACAGATCCTGGAGAGAGTTGGGAGAGAGACTCAGGTGAGCTGGATGTGAGCAGAGGCAGAAAGAGGAGTCAAGGCGACATCAGGAATTTTGGTCTGGGGCTATAGGACACCTGTACTTTGACCTGGTCACTCGGTGGTGTCTTTTACTGAGATGGTGAACAATGCAGGGACAGGTATGGAGGGGAAGTCAAAGCTTAGTTTGGGACATGTGGAGCTTCAGATGCCTGTCAGACCTTAGGGAGAGGCTGAGCAGATGGGGAAAGGTTGAGTTCCAAGGCAGGATGGGGCTGGAGGTTGGTCCTGAGACGCATCAGTGCACAGACAGCAGGGGGGGAAGTTGCCATGGAGGAAGGGTAGGAAGCCTGCCCAGGACCCTGGGGACATCCCACAGGTCAGGGCAGGCGGTGGAGCCAGCTGGGTCCAAAAGAAGAGAAGCTACTTCTGTAAAAGAAAAACTCAGAAGACAAGAGCCTAAGTGCTTTGAGGAGGAGGAAGGGATCCAAATCGCTGTGGACAGATGGGAATGATCAGTGACCTTATTCATAGTCTCTCAAAAAGTGTTTAACTGTCTTTGAATGGTTTCCTAATTGTTTTGTAGGAATAAGGGATAAAGTCAAGGGGAGACAGAGAGAGAGAGAGAGAGAGAGGGAGGGAGAGGGAGAGAGGGAGGGAGAGGGAGAGAGGGAGTGAGCCAGAGGTGGGGGGAGACAGGGTATAAACTACTCTGATTTTGCTAAAAAAGGAAGGGCAGAAAATCAGGCAGTGAAAGGAAGGGTTTGCATCATCAAAACAGGTTCTCATTTTCATTTTGATTAGTGGAGCACACAGTTTTACAGTAAACTTTTGTGAGTAGCACACTAAAAATGTAACAAAAGCATAACATAGTAAATTCATAAGGCGATAACATAGGTATCATCACTAGCAAGTATTACATACTGCACGTAACTGCATGTGCCCTACCTTCCTACGGATTCCCCAAACAGGTCTGAGAATACCAAACACGTGAGTGGTGTAGCGCTATCACATTACAGTGGCTGTGATGTCACCTGGCGATGGGAATCACGCAGCTCCACGACCCGATCATCATTATGTGGGGCATGACCGTGTTGTGTTATTTGTTCTGACCACTGCAACAAATTACCATAGGGTTGATGACCTAAATAACAGAATTTATTTTCTCACAATCCCAGAAGGTCAAAGTCCAAGAGCAAGGTGTTTTCTGGTTTTGTTTGCTTTGGTTTTGTTTCTGGTTTTGTTGTTGTGGCTGTTGTTGTTTGGGGTTTTGTTGTTGTTGTTGTTGTTGTTGTTGTTGTTGTTTTCCCCAGCACTGGGAATTGAACCCAAGGCCTTAGCTCTGAGCTACACACTCAGCCCTATGTTAGTTTTTATTTTGAGATAAGGTTTCACTAAATCATCAAATTTCCCAGGCTGGGCTTGAACTCACCTTTCTCCTGCCTCAGCCTCTAGAAGCACTGGGATTATAGGCTTGTGTCACCACACCCAGCTTTAATTACCTCTTTAAAGGCCCTATGTCCAAATACAGTCATGTTAGAGATCAGGGTTGCAACATACAATTTTTGGGGAGACACAGTTCAGCCCACAGTACTTACCTCTTGGAAGTGGATGTATAACCTAGTTTTCCTTCTGTGACTGGCTTACTTCACTTAGCGTATGTCTTCAAGGGCTACCAAGTTGCAGCACGTGTCAGAACTCCATACCTTTTTAAGGGTAAATACCTTCTACTGCATATACACGCCACATTTTGTTTCTCCAGTCATTCATAAATATTATTTCCAGCTTTTAGCTATTGTCAATAGTGCTGCTGTGAATGGACAAATGACTCTTCTAGAGTCTACTTTCAATCATTTGAGGCATGTATCGATAAGTGGAATTACGGGATCTATGGTGATTCTATGCGTTTGTGTGCGTCTTAGTTACTTTTCTTGTTACTGAGACAAAATACCCAACACCCAAAGTTAAAGGAGGAAAGGTTTATTTAGCTCACAGTCTGTAGAGGTTTCGGTCCTTAATCAGCTGGCTCCAAGGCAGGGTGGCACGGCAGACGGGCATTGCAGAGGAGACGTGGGTCATGACAGGCAGAAGGCAGCAAAGCAACAAGGAACAACCACAGGTCTTTCTATCCCTTATCTCTTATCCCGGCTACTTAAACCAGTAGCACTCTCACCCTTAATCCTTCTGTCCTCGATCCTAGCATTGCACTGGGAATCAATTCCAGTGTCACAGACTCTAGATCCAGCCACTTCCGAAAAAGCCCCACCTATGGTTGCCGAGGCTTTGGAGGGGACATCCAGACACAAACGCACCTAGACAGTGCGTTCTTCCCGAGACAGACGGTTTCTTCCTGAGGCACAGCTGTACTGTTTTCCAGAGCAGCGATGCCATTTTACCCTCCCACCAACAGTGGATTCCAGTCTCTCCACAGTCTCAACAAAACCTTTTATTTTCTGGGGCTTTTTCAGATTTGGAATTTTCACAGTAGCCATCCTAATGGGTATGAGTTGATATCTCATTGTTCTTTTGATTTGCATTTCTCTAAGGAGCAGAAGACATTGAGCATCTTTTTTTTTTTCTTTCTTTCTTTTTTTTTTTGTACTGGGGATTGAACTCAGGTCCTGGTGCTTGCTGAGGCAGTGCTTTTTATAGCATCTTTTCGTGTGCTTGTTGGCTCTTTGAGTAACTTTAGAGAAATATATATTCAAATTCTTTACCCATTTTTGAGTCAGATTTGTTCTTGTTGAATGGTAGATTTGCTAGATTACAGGTATCAGTCCCTCTTTGTGTGTATTATTTTCAAATATATTCTCCCTTGCCATAAGTGGCCTTTCCATTCTGTTGACTGTGTCCTTTGATGTACAGAAGTTATTAGTTTTGATGAAGTCCAATCTATCTATTTTTATTTTTAATGCCTGTGATGTCAGTGTTCTAAGAAATCATTGCCAAATTTGTGTCATGGGGCTTTCCCTTATGTTTTCTTCTAAGAGTTTTATAATTTTTGCTCCTATATTTAGAGCTCTTTTTTTTCATTTTTTTTATTAGTACATGTTTGTAGGACATAATGTTTACATTCCTTGTGAGGAATTGGTACGCGACCTATTGTGAATTAATTTCCATATGTGGTGTAATGTTAGGATAGGTTTTTATTGTTATTTGGTTGCTGTTGTTAATGAAAGAAAGTACAATAGACCCTTGAGTTAGGACCGGCCTGACACATGAACAATTTGGGTTATGACCAGAATTTTAGTTTTAACTTATGAACAAAGTCTTGAGTTACAACCTGAATGCTGGCCACTTGTACTTCCAGATGGTCTCAGATACAGATGTAATCTTTAAAGAATTCTGGAAAGAACATTACAACATCCTTTCCTGTGTGGGGTTATAATTGAGAAATCCTGCACCAATGTCTAAGGACACTGAGATCTGCCTGTGTACAGAGGAGAGACTTTGAAGGCTGCGTAGAGGAGCCTGAGCCTTCAATTAAGCTTGACTTACAACCAGCCCTCAGGAATGAATCTAGTTCATAAATCAAGGATCCCCTGTAGCTGAGCATGGTGGCACATACCTATGATTCCAGCACCGTGGAAAGCAGGAGGACACAAGTTCAAGCTTAGTCTGTGCAATTCAGCAGTTTATCAAGACCTCATCTCAAAAGAAAAAATGTGGGGCTCAGGATGTAGCTCAGTGTAAAGGCCCTGGATTCAATCCTGGGGGGAGGGGAGGAGGAGGGGGAAGGAGGCTATTACAGAATGTCGTTGGGCTGATAGGATTAACCTAGTAGAGGTAAATTCTGACATGCAGGAGAGAGGATAACTACAGAAGCAAGTGAGAGTGAGTGACAGCCTCCGGCAAACTTTAGGCAGGCTCCTGTGAGCATTCTTCCCAACGGGTCTCAACCTTGAACCAGTCCTACCTTTGGCCTAGCCAGCCCATTCTTAACAAGGAATCCTACTAAGTCACACCCTCTGCCCTTGATAGCTGATCCAGCTCTTCATCTCCATCCTTCGTGGCTAAACTGTTTGCCTGCTAAAATCTGTGAGAATTTTGTTAGGCCAGTTTGTCAAGAATTCACCTCAAAAACAGCTCTAAACAAATACAGATGAAAACAAAACACAGCAAAACTAATGGGATGCAATGAAAGCAGTGCTGAGAAAAGTCAGAGTTGTAAATATTTACATGAACAAAGATTTCCCGTCACCAGCCCACCATAGCACTTTTAAAAACTAGGAAAAAAAACAGCTGGGTGTGGTGGTATGTGCCCCCAAATCCTAGCACACTGGGGGGCTGAGGCAGGAGGATCACAGATTTGAGCCCTGCCTGCAGGGCAACTTAGTGATTTAGTGAGATTAAATCTAAAAAAAAGAAAGGAAGGGAGGGAGGGAGGGAAGGGAAGGGAAAGAAACTTGAGAAAAGGACAAAATAAACCCAAAGTTGGAGAAAAATGATTATAGCAAACAGAAAACAGAAAAACAATTTTGAAAGCCAACAAAACAAGTACTTGTTTTTTTAAAGGTCACAAAAAGTGGCACACCTTTAGCTAGACTGACTTGGGTGCGCAGTGCCATGGTACAGTGTTTGCCTAGCATATGCACAAAGCCACAGCACCGAAAAAGAGAGACAGAGAGAGAAGTGAGGGAAATGCGAATAAAAGTGAAAAAGTAAGCACTGTGATAAATTTTACAAAAATGAAAAGGACCATCAGAGAATGCGGCGAACAATTGTGCACAGCAAACTGGATAATTTAATAAATGGACAAATTCATAGAAGCGCACAAACTTCCAGGACTAAATCATGAAGAAATAGAAAATTTGAACAGATCTCTAACCAATATGTAAAGAAGAATGAACACCCATCCTCCTCAAACACTTCCTGTTTAAACCCTGAGACCAAAAAAAAAAAAAAAGAAAAGAAAGAAAGAAAGAAAAAAGTGCTCTCAGGGTTTGGGCATGAAATGCGACTCAAAAGCTCATGTTTCAGGCTGGGGATTTATCTCAGTGGTGCTGCTGCCTGCTTTGCAAGCACAAGGACCCAAATTCCATCCCTGGTACCAGGAAAAAAAAAAAAAAGCTCATATGTTGAAGACGTGGTCCTCAGTGCAGCAGTGTTCAGAAGCAGGGTCTTTGGCAGGCAATGGGATCATGAGGGCTCCGTCCTCATCGGTGGATGAAGCCACTGACAACACATATTTTAATGGGCTGTTATAAAATGGTAGAGCTCAGGAGGTGGGCCCTAGCTCGTGGAAGGAGGGTGTACCCTTGAAGGATGCATTTCATCCGTAGCCCCTTCTTCCTCTCTCTTTGATTCAAGACCACACAATTTGTCCTCACCCCCTTCCCCTCTCTCTGTGCTTCCAGATCCCCATGAGATTAGCAGCTTTACTCTACTCTCCGCCACAACGCTCTGCCTCTCCATAGGCCTAGAAGCAATGGAGCCAGGTGACCATGGACTTAAACCTCTGAAACCTGAGCCAAAATGAACCTTCCCTCTTTTTAAACTGACTTTCTCAAGCATTTTGTCACTGTGACAGAAAGCTAACACAAACACAGACTAATACACCTTATGAACATCAATGGAGAATACTTAGCAAAATACAAGCAAATTACTCTTATCTACTATCTGGGTTCAATCTCGAGGTTCAGAACAAAACAAAAGAAAGCTCCTTTAGCCAGGCCGGGTGGTGCATACTTGTAATCCCAGCACTTAAAAGGCTGAGGCAGGAGAATGGCCAAGAGTTTGAGGTCAGCCTAGGCTACAGAGTGAGTTCAATGCCAGCCTGAACTAATATCGAGACTCTGTCTCAAAAAAACAAAAACAAAACAAAAACAAAAAATGGCTCATTTGCTAGACATGGTTGCATAGGCCTGTAATACCAGCTACTCAAGAGTTAAAACAGTATTTACCAACAATGTGTAGTATGAAAAAAAAATTAAGAAATCAACCCATTTGCCATAACATAAAAAAGGACAAAACATTTAGGAATCAACATAACCAGAAATGAAATGCTATACAATGAAAGCTATGATACATTACTAAGGGAAATTAATGAAGTCATAAATAAATGGGAAGAAAGCCCATGTTCAAAGTGATCTACAGATTTAATGTAATCCTTATCAAAATCCCAATGATTTTTTTTGCCAAAATGGAAAAAAAAATCCATTTTCCAATTCATATCTCAAGGGGCCTTGAATAGCAGAAACATTCTTGAAAAATAAGAAGAAATTTAGATGATTCACGTTTGCTAATTTGAAAATTTACAACAAAGCCCTGGTGACCAGGTTGGCAATGGACACTAAGTCTGCTTCATCTTTTGGCTACTGTGAAAAATGCTCACAGACAAAAGAATCAAACAGAGAGCCTATAAGTAAACTTGGACAGAGCCAGGAGCGGTGGTGCACGCCTGTAATCAATCCCAGAACTCGGGAGGCTGAGGCAGGAGGATCGCTGAAAGTTCGAGACCAGCCTGGGCTACACAGTGAGTTCAGGGCCAGCCTGAATTACAAAGAGAGACCCTGCCTCAAAAATGAATGAATGAATGAACTGGGACAGATATAGTATAATCAAATAAATTCTGACAAGGTGCCACAACCATTCAATGGGGGAAAGTACACATTGCCTTCCTAAGAAGGTGTCTGCCCCTGACTCAACCTCCACGATTGCTTTAACTCAGCTATTGGCTAGGGACCTTCCCAGGGTGTATTCAACTTTCTCCTCCCTGTGTCAGTGGTACAATTTATTATGTAGTTTTTAGCATAGAGTTGTGCAGCGGGGCGTGGAGGCTCACACCAATAACCTCAGCATTCTGGGAAGTTGAGGCAGGAGAACTAAATTTGAGCCCAGCTTGGGTGGTTTAGGATTTAAAGAGGCTCTATTTCAAATTTTTAAAAAAAAATTAAGGGGTGGGAGTGGGGCAGGGATGCAGGTCGCTCGGTGAAAAGCCGTGGCTCAATCCCCATGCCGCAATTACTCAGTAAAATAAAAACGAAAAGAGCTCAGCAACGATCGCCATAATCCAGTTCTAGAACATTGCCATCATAGCCTCTCTGAGTCCCTGGTTTCTTGTCTAGAATTGACCATACTCTGAGCCTGGCACCAACAACCTCTACCCAGAATTACAATCCCTGCTGATGCCATCTACGAGACCGTTATCTTTTCCAGGCAGTTACCAAAACCACACACTAAGGAGCCAATCCAGCTGGAGCCAGCGCCGCAAGACTCCGCGGAGGCGTTCCCGCCCCGCCCCCTGCCCCGCCCTCTT